GGGAAACAGCAAAACTGCTAAGAGCACACTACTCTCTTCATCTTCTAGCACACTCCAGATCAACAAAATGCAGGCATGTGTCATATGAAAAATGAGACATTCTGCTCTTGACTCACGTACTGCCCATTTCTGGGGAAGGAAAAGTGCTGGGCTTTCTTGTATGATTCCTGCCTGGTGCGGCACACGGCCGTTTCTGTCTCAGTACCCAGCAGTAATGCGAGGGAGAAAGCAGCAGGACTTTACAGGGTGAAATTTAAGTTAGGTCAGTCATGAAAGAGATGTAGTGAAATGCCTGTTGCAAAGCGGGGCTTTTGGTGCACCCAGTTCCCTCTCTGGAGCAGAAGCAACTGTGGCTGCAGATGTACGTGAATCTCTAATGTAGTAGCTGGATGGCAGCCAGGGGAGAAATCCAGCCTACTAAGGACTCCTGTGGATGCTGGCCTCAGCTTTAATCCCCTACAGTGGTCAGATCTGAGGAGCATTTCATTATTCCTCCCCAGAGATGAACAACAGATAATACCTGTCCCAGGTAACACAGCATCCATCTCTTTTCTCAAAGAGAGGCAGCAGTAGCTCACAAGGATGCAATAAGACTGTGAGGCTCGATTGCGGTGGGGTGCTGGTCCTGTCTGTGCTCACAGAGGCCGCAGGCAAGTTCTTCCCCAGAGCAGAACTGCAGCACAATCAGGAGAAGAGGGACCCACCAAGGCCTGATGGCCTCTCTTCTGTAGCCATGAAGGGAAATGCAGATTTTGAGGAAAGGAACTGCATTCAGCCTGGGACACCCGTGATTCCAGTTAGATTGAGGGAAGGCCACAGCAGTCTCTCCTGAAAGCACGCCTGACTGCTGCAGTCTATAATGGTGTCGCAGCTCCCCAGATGCAGGACCCCTAATGCGCCCATTCATCTCTACCGTCTCTTGCACGGATACCTCTGCTTGGCACAACAGACCCATATGCTCACGTGTGGCAGTGACAAGTGCTGAGTGGAGCCGCAAGATCACCACAGTATAGGGCAGAACGCATCAGCATCAGATCCGGCTCCCACAGACCTCCTGTACACCCCCAAACTTGGCCCTACCAATGGCCCTCACCTCTCACCTCAGAGTCCACCCTCAACGCATGCTGCAGCAGTTCAGCACCTCTGTGGAGGCGCAGCAGCTACCTCAGACAAACCCCTGTGTCCACAGACCAGTGGCTGTGGAGACCTGAGCCTACAGTGTGCCTGAAGACAGCCACGCACCCCTGTCTCACCACTGTGCTGCTCTCCCAGCCGCCCCAGGTCCCCCACGGCCAGCCAGCGTGTTCTCACTAGCTCAGGATACGCGTAATTTCTGAGGGCCAAAAGCAACAAGTCGTTGCAGAGAGCATGGTTGCTGAATGGAGCAGCAGCATTGTTCTCTGCAACCCCCACAGCTGGGTCTGTATCAGGATGGACGTCTTTCCTAAGGGCCTAAGTCTGTCCGTAATTGTTGCAGAGATTAACTGCTGTGGCTGGTTCATCAGCCCTGGTCTTTGCAACCCCCACAGTTGCGTCCTAGTCAGGATGGCCATCATTTCTGAGGGCGTGAACACCACAGCCTCTTACTTGCCCTACCCCTTGTCAAGCAGGGGAAGAAGACCTGGCTGCTTTTCCATCACTGTGTGACTGCTCTCTGTGGCTAGGATTGCACTTGAGCTCTGGAGAAATTTAGACATTCCCAAGAAACAAGTGAGCAGAAGGATGGTCTTAGCTGTGGGGAGCACAAAACTGCCAACAGCCTTGGCCAAGAAGGCTTGCTATGAACAAACAAAATCCATATTGGACAAGGAAGCTTCAGTAGGCCCCGAGAGGTCCTCTGCTTCTTCACGAAGGAGATGCCAAAGTGCAGGGCCAAAACCCTCCAAGAGACCCCAGCACAACATGGGGAATGAAGGTGCTGGGCTTCCTTTTAAGATTCCTGCCTGGTGGTGCAAACAACTGTTTGTGCCTCAGTACCCAGCAGTAATGCAAGGGAGAAAGCAGCAGGCCTCTACAGGGTGAAAATTAATCTGGGTCAGTTGCAGAGAGCACTTTTCCCAGAGGGTGCCCTTGTCCCTTGTGGGTGCACTGACTCCTGGCTACACCACTAGTTTCTGGTCCTCACTAATCAACACACTCTTTGTGTCAGCCAGTCAGCCAGTTTTCAGTCTATCTCACTGTCTGCTCAGCTAGCCCATACATCGAGCTTCACTTGAGGATCTTATGGGAGTCTTTGTCAATAGCCTGAGAGAAATCAACATAGACGATATGCTCTGATCTTCCCATATCTGCCAAGCCAGTCATTTCTTTATAGAAGGGTTATCACTTTAAGCATGTCTTCCCCTTCGTGATCCATGCTGACATAAAGTGATTTGCCACACAGTAATCTACCCCTGTGCTAAAAGCACTCTCACCCTTACCCAGTGCCCACCCCACTAATGCTAATGCCACCCTGCCTGTAAGTTCTTTTGATGAAATTCATTTGGCCGTCACCTCTTCAAGAGATTTAATGGGAAAGTCTCAACTTCTCTGTCTCTCTGCTATCCTGAGAGCACAGAGGGGTTTCAGAAAAACACCCAAGCCATATGTGCACAAGTCTTACTGAGAGCTAGCCTGGCCAGCCAAAAGCCAGAGCCACTACCTTCAGCACCTCCCTCTTCACCCAAGCAGTCTGTGTGCCAGGAACTTTGTTCCAGGTCTGGCTTTGACTTGCAGAACTAAGACAACATTGCCCAAGTCTGCTTCCACACTGGGAACGCAGCCAGCAACACGCAGTACCAAACAGGAAACAAGAAACACCAGCAACCATTTGTCCTTGTCTTTATTTACAGGGGAGAAGGAGGCCAGCATTTTATCTTGAGGGCTGTCTTGGCTGCTTAAGCCCCATGATGCCTCACCAGTTCTGCAGGGCTTTGGTCCCTCTTACCTATATGTGGCAGGTACACCCACCCTGACAAAAGCCCTGGCAAAGAACTGACAAAAGCCCAGGAAAGCTTCCCACCACAGACAAGAGCCCAATGGAGCTTCTCACATGTACAGCTCTTGTCCCACTCACATGGTGGTGGTCCATGGGTGCAGGGGTGAGCCCCCCCGTCCCCCCATGGGGCCTATATGACCATGTCTAACCACAGCTCAAGACTCAACCAGGGTATAAAAGGAGCCGCACCAGAGGGCATGTGGTTTCAGTCCTCCTCAGAACAGCAGGTCTGCAGTCAGGGACTCTCCCCTTGGGCCAGAACACCATTCAGGGGAAGTCCTCAAGGTTGAGAGCCCTCCCATTTCATGTGAGTGATTGAGCATTTTAGATCATTGGCCATGAAATTTAAGATTCAGCAGCGTAGTGACGAATTCATGTGACATTCCAAATCTTTAGTTCATATTGGTGGAGTTTTAATTGAGTTTGAATAAATTTTGTTCAGCTTCAATTTATCGGTTCTGTGACATTATGGCTGTACCTAGAATTACTCAGTGCAGCCCCTGATTATGGCAAAGCTAGCATGCCTTGGGAAGTATCTGGGATAAGGGATAAAGGGGATGAAGACTGGAAAAGGGATAAAAGGCTGCCACGTGCCCACATCACAGATCAAGAGGGAATGAGGTTGTCCCAGCAGAGGTCATGGCAGGGAGTGTGTGGGGTGTGTTTTTCCTTTCCTGTTCTCTCATAAAAAATGAAATTTTATCTCACAGGGGGCTGGAGAGCAATGGAGCATTGAGCATCCAAGGTCTTAAGCTTTTAACCATGCAGAACAAAAACAATGCTCTGGAAAAGTTGGGAAACACTGGAGAGAGCAAGGCTAATGGCCCCTGCTCCAGGCTTCATGGGATGCCTATGAAAGTTTGTTTTCAATGTGGCAAGTCAGACACTGCAGCATGGGCCAAAGGCTGCCATTCTATGTCCCCTTCCCTGGCTGTCACCAAGCCTCTGGCCCAGCCCTGCTGCCCCTTGCTCTCCAGGCATCCCCTGATGTGTAGTCCAATCCCACCAGCCTCTACTGAGAAACGGGTGCTGCAGCACTACCAGGTTAAGGGAGATTCGTTGTCACCCTGTGCAAGGGAGGGCACTTCCTGCAAGGACACTGTCCTCCACCAGGATGCAATGAAAGGGACACAGACTAAGTGACAGCATGCTTTGAAAAAGGGGAACAGAAAATTTCTGGGCATCCAGGTTCATGCTACCCAGCTGGGACCTGTGGATGTCCCATATGGGGATATTGGGCAGCCCAGGGACACGCTGCTGCCCCTGCTGAGACAGCCTGCTCAGCAGCCACCTTTCATCATCGATTTCTCCTTTCATTCAGTAGAAGCTGGTTCTCCCTTAACTGTATCTTACAGGCCCCAAATGCCCCGTCTAGAGCAAAACAATTCCCAGTGAGGAATGACAGACACACTTCTGACCTTCTGCAAGCCATTCTCCAGGCTTAGGGTTGACCCTAGGGCTGTGCTAGGAGTCCCACCACACACCTGGCCACCAAGCATCAGAGTGTGCTGTCCCCACCACAAGCCAAGCACTGAGACTGCTAAAGACATGAGCTACCATGTTCATATGATCACATACCCAGCATCCCCTACCAGGTCCTTGCTGAAAGTGTGACAGCTGACCCACACTGTGGTGGGAAGGGGTGTCAGACACAGAAAGGGATGCTGTTGAGAGTCTGAGACCCGGTAGTGCAGAGAGTCAGGGGAGGTATTACACATCATTCTCCCAGCGGTATTGTGCAGTGCCTGCCAGCCAAACCCAGGCTGCTCAAGCCTGAACAGCAACAGCAGGAGGAGGCAATGCCAGCCAGTTGCAAAATCCATGCCACACTCAAGTCACCATAGGTCTGTCCCTTCCCCGGGATGGAGACCACTGCGATACTAAAGCACCTGTTGCTCTTCCTTCATGCCTTTGAGGTGAAGATCCTAACAGCAATATCTCCTATGACCCTCTTCCCCATGCCCTCCCAGCAACACTCAGCCTGGCAAATACCTTATGGCAAGTAATTTTACATTATTCTGCATTTACACAAAAATAGAGCAATTCTATATTTATAGATACTTATAGCCGGTTCCGTGCTAGAGGAGTTGTTGAGCAAGGCCAGGAGCTGTGGACAGTCCAGGCTCCCAAGTAGCTGGCCGATTCTCAGTCAGCATTTCAAACATAAAAAATTAAAGGCATTCATCTCCATCTGTTTTCTTAAATAGATAAGGGGGGAGTGAATAAACAGTATGTACACAGGGGCAGTGTCAGGGCCTAAGCGCCCTCTGCCCCAGCCTCACACTGCCACTCAGGTCAGTGAGGCCGGCTGCTGGACTCTGAGGGCTGCCGCTGGCGGGGAGGAGTGTAGCCATTCAGGTAGCCGTTGCTTTGGCGTTTGCTGAGTCCTCCATTAAGAATGTCCTGGATGTGCTGCACAATGAGGTTTATGGCCACTGTGAACAAAAAGGAGGGAAAGACACGAGGGAGAGATTGCATTAAGATCACTGCAAATAAACTAGAGCCAGTCCAGAGATTATGACCCTGATGTCTCCCTTGCTCCCATCCCCTCCTATTCCATGGTAAGGAGCTGCAACCCTGCCAGGAGGAGCTGCCCTCTGGGACTTCATCCCTCTGCCCCAGCTAAACCCAGCACACAAGCCAGCAACTGGCTGTCCCAGTTGCACATCTTGCCTTGGGAGAAGCACATTTATTTCCCTTTGTGTGGGATAAACCAGGAGTTTGCCTAGAGGCACTGCATGTAGATGGGCACCCATGCTTGATCAGAGGAGCACAAACTTCCAGCCAGGAAGGAGCAAAGAGAGAAGCTCATCTCGGGGAGTGCATGTGTGGTAACAGCACTCTCTTGTGTGACAGTAATTTAAGTCACCTCTGTGGAAGGCTTCACTGCAACAGCACAGCCCAAAGCTGGCAGCCAGGACATAACAGCAGGCTCTGGGTCCACTCACCTTCGTTATCTGCTCCTCTGGGAATGATCACATCAGCATACTTCTTGGTCTGGAAGGAAAGAGAGCACTGTGTTATGGCAAAAGTGGGGACCCACCAGGCTGCGGCATTGTCCCTGCTTCCTGGGGCAGGTCCTTCCCCTCCCTTGACAAACCCAACCCCCCTGGGAGGTATGTCATTGTTGATAACACATTTTGGATGCTTTTTTTTGTTTGTTTTTCACTCTGTGTTTCAAGGGCCACACTTTGTGCCTTGACTCCATTTTCATGATCTCATACAGACTGCAGTAAGAGGCAGCAAGAGTCAGTTTAACAAACCTGAAATAAAAAATCGTCACAATCACAAGACTCCAGCAGTTGATGCTTTTGGGAACAACCTCACTGCTGAATCCAGCCAGACTTGGTGCAAGAATTGGCATGCCTGGGCACAGCCATGTGGTCTGCTTGGGACGGGGGAAGAATGTTCTACCAGCGTCGCTTGCAAAAAAAGGTCTGATTCAGGACACCAGTTCTAACCTATCTTCACCTGTAGGTGCCAGTCTCAGTTTCCTCCCCTATTTGTGTCAGCTTTTACAGCTGACCAGTTCCTGACAACCAAGCTCCATCACCAGTGAAGAAGCCAGCTCCATGGATGAAGGGTTCCATCTGACACCTTCATATAAAAAATCATCAGCAGATGCTAGACCATTTCAGTGCTGAACCACCTGGCCCAGGGCTGGGTTAGGAGCCATAAGAGAGCAACGGTGGGGGCTGAGCCTGCTTAACATCTGCATGCAATTGCTCTGCAGGTGAGTGCACCACCAGGTTAGAAGCAGGAACAGGCCACTGCAGCTGTTTTTTACCCTGCTTGTTTCACATCCCATCCTCCTACAGACTCTTCAACAGAAGAGGCTGATGCAGCATCTGCTGCTTTGCAAAGCTGTAGATATACCTGGCTGGGGACTTGCAAGGAAGGGAGCCACCTAACTGGACCTGCCTTTCAGGAAAAGCTTTTCTGGGATTACCAGGATTTGGATGTTGGTCCCCAGAGCCACAATCGAGCAAGGCAGAGAAAAGAGTGCTGCTGAGGGGCCAGGAAAAGATCTTGTAACAAGCACAGAGCAAATAAGCCCCTCTTACAGAAAAGGGCAGAGCTGGCCGCCTAGACAAGCACAGAGATGCTCCTGAGGCTGACAACCCAGGTTCCATTCTTGCCTGTAGTGCTGGCCAGCAGTTCCCAGGCTGCAGGACTCTGCTCCTTCTTATTCTGCCTCCAGAATAAGAAGAAAATCCTCATAACTACCACATCTGCTTCAAAAGCCTTGAGAACCAAGGCACAGGCTCCTTTGCATGAGAGCCAAGAGAGGCGTGCAATGGCTAGTCCTGCAAACGTGCTATTTCACCTGCAAGTTCTGCACGACTGCAGTGGTGTCCCACATGCAAAGTCCCAGTCTGCTAGGGAGCCTTGCCGCATTTTTCATTCTCAAAGTAGCGTCCTATCTCCAGGCAGACCTTGCAACGCTAGCAGCCAGCAAGCCAGAAAGACTCCAGGGTGAAAAGGGCAGGCAGGACAGTCCAAAACAGGAGGCAGACACAGCAGACACTGCCTGTGGCAGGAATCTCCCCTGGCTAGATGCAGCCAAGGATCTTACCTCCTGGCTGGCATCTGCTGGGCTGCCTGGTGTTGGTTTATCGGACCCTGTGCAGGGAGGGGTTTATTTTGCTATACAGGCATCCCCACAGGGAAGTGTGAGCTTACTGGGAAGTCAGTGTCTGTATAAATAGTCCCCATCTCACCTTGTCTCAGCCAGCACTAACACCCCTATTTTTGCCAGTGCCTGCAGGGAGGGATGAAGGTGAGACAGGCTGACCTGAGCTCTGGGACACAAAATGCTCCTGTCTGAAGAGCTGGCCATGGTATAATGCATTTCTGGCAGACTCCTGTGGGTGTCACTCCCCTTACTTACTGGCAAACAGAACTCTTCAAAGGCAGGCTTGACGAAGGTGATGTACTGAGATAAGATCTGCTCCAGGTCCCTGCCTCGCTCACTAATATCTCGTAGCACTGCAGGGAAGATGTAAGGCATAGTCAGGAGATGAGACATTAATTACTCCATCACCCTCCCTTTGGCCAGCTACCCATGTATTTTGCAAGAGGTCTTTGTTCCTGGAAGTCGCTGCCCACATGTTCAAGCACACCTCACTCCTGCTATATGCTTGCAGGCTTTCCTGGGAGCCAAGAGCTGGCTGACCTAAGGGCTTTTCTTGTCCACCCTCTCCTCTTAGCTCTGCAAGCACATTTCAGCTGTAACCAGTGCTACCCCAGTCTTGACTATTCCCAGCCTCACAGTCCCTGCAACCCTTCTATCACTCCTTTGGCCAAAAGGCATTTAGGGCCATTTCCTCAAGTCGATCTGGTACAGAGGTGCCCAAAGAATAAAAAAGCAGTGGAGTTCACCCATACACATATTAAGGCACAGTTTAACTCAGGTGTTCATAGTAAAACTCACCCACCCACCCAGCTCTGCCAGGCTCCCTGTGCTGCTCCCAGCTGAGCAGGATGGGAAGGCAAAGCAGGCTCCCACAGTAAGAGGCTGGGGGTGGTGCTTGGAGGAAGCCCGGAGAGTAAGCTGGCCTCCTGCTTGTTCTGCCATTTGGGCCTTACACCCTGCTTGCATAAGGTGTTTGGGCCATTGCCATCCCCAGTCTGAAGCCACTTCAACATGAACAAGCACCCCAGTTCAGTGGGAATTCAGTCCATGAGTAAGAGCCAAAACTGCTGTGCTGTGGCAAAGCAGATGGCTCTTGGCTCCCCCCAGGGGGCTGGCTTCTACCCAGTACGCCTGGCACTGGGTTTGGAGTGAACGTTTTCCACATGCCAAGGCAGAGCCAAGCCACAGCACTACTAGCCTGTGTGACTTGCTCGGCAGCCATTGCCCATGTGCTTGCAGAGCCAGGACAGTGCTGGTTTGGCACCATTCCTGTGGATCTGTTTGTCCTCAGCCAGCAGCTTTGCAGTGTGCTCTTTTGCAGCCCCTAGCGGGGGAGGTGATGGAGGAAAGAAAGGACTGGGAGCAGGATGTATGCCAGCTCCAGGAATGGCTCAGCTCAGCCCAGGCTGCTCTAGACAGCTCCTTGCCTTCTCCAGAGTGGGAACAAGCCCCAGCACAAACAATACAGAAAAACAGGAAAATAAACCAGAAAGATTTTTGTTTCCCAGGTCCCACACCCTGTTTGTTGGCTGCTCTGAGGCAGGGAAGGAGCACAGTGAGGGCATATTTACAGCACACCCAGCCTGGCATGGCATGCTTGAGGTCTGTGAACTGCATAAGAGTGAGTGTCCACCTTGCAGGGACTGGTCCTGACAGGCAAAGCTCTCCTGCCTGCTCCCAGGCAGACCACAGAAGGGCAAATCACCCTCATACACAAACAGAAGTCAAGCACCTATTGTCTTGTACCTGACCCAAAACAACAGGTCCCAGCAACCCAGGCTAAGACCACCCACCCTATTTGGAAGTATCACCCTCTACTTGCAAGGCAGGCAAATGTCCCAAGGACAGATTGGCACCATGTAGAACCAGCAGGCAGACATCTCTCAAATCAGGTCCAAAACACGTACAATGACTTGTCTTTGTTTTACAGCAGCTGATTGAGAGCAGAGCAGTGAAGGGACCTCCGCCAGAATTAGCTTTGCATGGCTCAGCCTGTTTGAGGCACTCAACAGAACTAGCCCCTTGTCCTAAGGTAGCAGTGTTTTGTCTGGGAGAGGTGCAGAGATGGGGACCGTGCAAGTTACAGGTACAGAATCACAGCACTACTGATTAACCAAGCTGTCAGCTACATTTGCAGGAACTTCATCTGCTGCTGCCTAGTTGAAAAGCCCATTGCTGCAACTCTTCAGGACTTCCAAGAGAGCAGGATGACCCAGAGCCATGTCACAACACAAGATCCTGAGTTTTGCTACGAGCTGCCTCCAGCTACATTCCAGGGACACTATTATAGCTTCAGCACCTCACATGCAGGTTCTCCTTTCTCTGAAATATTAGGGAGATAAACAGATTTACTGCTGCGATGGTCCTACCAACTGCTAACAGCAAGCCAGGTCAATTCCCTACCAGGAGGCCAATGAGTTGCCCTAACTGGGAGATACCAGCACCTCAACCAGGCTAGCTGCCCCTTTGCACTTGGTGGTGGGTGAGAGAAATACCTAATAGCCTGGGACCGGGCAGACCCTCTCCAACAGCTGCAGCACAAATGGGTTTACCTCTGCATTGTGGTCAACAGCTGGATAGTCTCAGGTCTCATATCTTGGATGGGATCTCAACCAGTTTTCACGCCCTGAGCTCACCCTTCTGTACCAAGTCCAAAGTGACTGAACCATGCACTCCAGAGTGAAGCTGAGATGCACACGGTCATGTTGCACTGCAAATGCACACGCAACACCTTTCCTTCAGACAGCTGATCCAGGGCACTGCCAAAATTGTTGTAACTTGAGATTTGAGTTGTATGTTACAGGAATTGCTATAGCACGGCGGTCTTGTTGCTAGCCAGGCTGGGAGCAAGGGAAAGAGTTCATTGCAGTATTAAACCCTATAACCTGGCCCAAAGGGGAAGAGGTGAAGATTGTAATGAATAATCTTTAAATCATTGTAACACATAATTTAAGTAGCATGTTATAGGAATTACTACAGCAGGAGGCACCTGAATCAATGGAGGTCAAGCCTTACAAGAAGCAGTGCAAGTGCAGCAGTGACCCAACCTGAGCTGACTTTGGTGCCCAGTAACTCCACGCAACACACCACCTCTCCTGTCCCAAGTGATCTCTGTAACAGATGGAGCCCAAAGTCATGGACTAAATGAACTCAATGGACATTTGCAGCTATTTTATAAGGGCAGTCCATAAACAAAGGGAATTATATCTGTGCATTTTATTAAAGGATGGGAAGAGGTGTGGTGGGCAATCAGAATGCATTGGATAATGCAGGACCTGAGAATGACATAAATGGTATGAAATAAGGGGTGGAGAATGTGCTGGCTTTGGCTGGGATAGAGTCAAGTTTCTTCAGAGTAGCTAGTATGAGGCTACATTTTGGATTTGTGCTGAAAGAAAGCAGAGTTGATAACATGGATATTTTTGTTATTGCTGAGCAGTGCTTACAGAGAGTCAAGGCCTTTTCTGCATCTCACACCACCCCATCAGTGAGTAGGCTGAGGGTGCACAAGAAGTTGGGAGGAGGCACAGCCAAGACATCTGATCCCAACTGACCCAAGGGATACTCCATACCGTATGACATCATGTTCACTCAGCATATAAAGCTAGGGAAAAAGGAAGAAGCCAGGGAGGGCAGGGGAGGAAGGAATGACAGATGACAGGACACAGCATTCAGAATTGTGGCATTTGTCTTCCCAAGTAACCCAAGTGTGAAGGAGTACTCCTTTCCTGAGGATGGCTGAACATGTGCCTACCGATGGGAAGTAGTAAGTGAATTCCCTGGTTTGCTTTGCTCGCACACGCAGCTTTTTACTTATTAAATTGTCTTTATCTCAGCCCATGAGTTTTCTCAGTTACTCTTCCAGTTTTCTTCCGTATCCTGCTGGGAGGGCAGAGATAGCAAGTGGCTGCATGAAGCTTAGTTGCCGGCTGGAGTTCAACCAGAGCAGTGTGCTACCCTGTGGCTGCGTGTGAACCCAAGTTCTTGTTCTTCTACAGCACAGTCTGCTTAACAGATAAGGCTCACACTGCAGGATCTTGCAAATGTCTATCTCCTAACACATCTCCCTGCAATGACTGTGCTGTCACCTCCCTGGATGAGTCATGCAAGAACACTGGGCAGGGTCAAGAAGGATGTGTAAAAAGGACTGATCAGCACTGATTACATCCAGCAGCAGGCTGTGTATCTGTCTCACAGACAAGGGCAGGCAGGCAGGAGGAAGCAGGAACAAGGAGATGGCTGGTCTCTTCTCTCAAGTAGCAAGTGACAGGACAAGAAGAAACAGCCTCAAGCTGTGCCAGGGGAGGTTTAGACTGGATATTAGGAAAAAATTCTTTGCTGAAAGGGTAGTCAGCCATTGGAACAGGCTGTCCAGGGGGCAACAGTGGAATCACCATCCCTGGAAGTGTTCAAAACGTGTACCTGAGGCCATTAGTGACATGGTTTAGTGGTGGTCTTGCCAGTCCTGGGGTAACAGTTGGACTTTACGATCTTAAAAGTCTTTTCCAACCTAGTTGATTCTATAATTCTAAGACTAGTTCTGTAGCAGAGTGGAACAGTCCCAAGCACACAAGCAGTTCCAGGCTAACACACTGAGACATGCTCCACTCATCACGGCATAGAGGTCTGGACCGGACCTCTCCTAAGTCATCTTCTGCATCCCCAGACACCCTGTCGAGGTTGTTGGAGCCAGGAAGGGGCAGGGATAGTTCAGAGAAAACCAAATTCTGCCCCAAGAATCCCAAAATGCTTTCTTACTCATCTAGGGAGACTCAGATGGCTGCATCAGTGAGCCCACTCATAAAGGCTGCTTTGAAATGAACAGCGTCTCGAGGCACACAGGTCCTGCAGAGCTGGAGTCCCTCCTATGTCAGCTGCAATCCACAGCCAAGCCAAGCTAGACATGGAGTGTCGTAGAGAGGGATATTCTGATTTCTAGAGCTCTTTGTTCACAAAGCCATCATCGCAGTGCCTCCCACAGAGAGGCTCCATGCTGTGCTTGTTGTGCTTGCACAGACTAAAAAAATGAACCACCAGACTCCCTATTTGCATCATCATCTACGATGGACAACCTCACACCCAAATGAATCTTTGGAGCACATCCATATCCCACGTCCTGAGCAGATCTATCAGACACTGCCTTCTGACTGAGCTGCTGAGATGCTCTGCCTTGCCCATTGCACTCCTCCCCGCTGGCACGTGCTGACTGTAGCTGCTATTTAGCCGATGACACAGAGGTGGTGCCACAGGGCCATACAAGGACACAGCATGCTCACTAGTCACACTGCTACACACATGAAAGAATCCCAGGCAAGGCAGCAAAAACCCCACTGAATCCTAAGAGACATGGAGCAAGGTGTTCTCCGCTGCCATACACTGCTCTGTGTGATATTCTGCACTGGGAAGGAAAAGCTCCCTGGCTGTTTGCTAGCAGCAGCACAGCTTTGTGCCAGTTCCAGATCTGCTCTGGTCACTGTAATCTGCCTCTGCAACCAGATGCCCAGATCAATTGACATTTCTGTCCCTGCTCCACAAGGCATGTTTGGGCCTCACCTCTGCGGGACAGCCGGGTGTCTGCATCCGTGTCCACAAAAAGCTTCATGCGGAACAGATCCCGCACCTCCTGGCTGTAGAAGGCGAGGATGCCTTCGAAGAGCACCACATCGGCAGGGTAGACAGTCACCGTCTCCTCTTTCCTAACAGGAGGAGGGAGAGTCAAAATATGCTGATAGCAGGAGATAAGCCAAGAGAGGTGGGAGAAACAGCGGCGCTCCTAGGCACTGCTCCAACCCTGGGACATCACTGCTGCACCAGGGGGGTGACCAAGGAGAGGGCAGACCTACACCACTGCAATGAAGGGTGCCCAAGGCATACGTACACTTCCTAGGACAAACAGCAGAGCAGGAAGCAGACCAGCCCTTCTCCCCCTACCTTGGCCACCTGCTGCTTGCAAGCACTATGTGCCAAACCATAAAGCCCAGAAAGCCTACACATTGGGCTTGAGCCATGGGAACCTGCAAGAGCCAGCTCTGCTCCTCTGGCAGCCAGGCAGCACTCCCCTGACACCACAGCACTTCTGTGTGAAATGGAACAGAGTCACACTGTCCACAGCCAATATAGGCATGCAAAAACAAGCTGAACACATGCAAGGGAAGAGTTACAGGAGCAAGTACTGTTGCTCTCCTCCTTTCCTGGCAGTGCCAGGCTGTTTGAGCATGGACTACTTGTTAAAGCTGCACACACAGTTTGTGGGGAGATAAACTGTTGGTGGAAGAAGAAAAGAGGGACTATACCGCCCAACTCTGTTGACACCTATATGTTGCTGGATGCCACTGCTTGGCTGCACAGATTTCCAGACCCTCAGACTGCACCTGTACCTGCCCTGGATCCTCTAACCAAGAGGTCTAGAGAAGTTAGGTTCGAAACTTTGAGTTGGCACATTAGGTGCCTAACAGTGGGCGCAAGCAGAGGGGCAGGCGGTTTGGGCTTGCAGGACTGCGTGCTGTGCCACAGGGTGTTAGCAGCAGCACAGCAAGGCAGGAGCAGCTGTTGGACCTGGAGTGTGAGACAAAGTCATAGACAGGAATCTGGACCGTCTTCCCTTCCGTGATCTCTTTGAGCGTTTTCACGATCAGCTCGTTGTCAAAGGCATCTGAGGAGAGAGGAAACGTTACCTGAGGAAGCTTTGCAACCCCTCCCACCCACCAGACACTGAGCTTAGCCTAGCCAGAGGCACCAGGACAGACAAACATGCAGACAAGGAAGAAAAGCCCTGCACATCCCCGTGGACATAGCAAGGCCGAGGTCTCCCAGAGACCCTGGGTATTCACTGTCACTGCTTTGCACTAGCCTGGGATCTGGCCTGCAGAGATCAATACCGCCCTTGTATGGTGGTGCGGCTGCCCAGGCTCAGGAAGGCATCTCCTCCAGGGCTCCAGCCCTCAGAGAGACTGGAGCAGTGTTTCAGCCTTGAATCACTGGACAGACAGAGCTCTGTTTGCTCAGTGCTTGCTGTGTCTGGCCATTGTCCTATGGCGATGCAGGGACAGCAGCTCTGGAATTCCCCCACCAAGCCCAGAGATGGTTCAAAGAGCCCCTGTTGTAGTAACAGGGCACAGGCCCCTCAGTGAAGGGCTTTGCAGAGCAGCTGCACAAGACTGTTCCCTTCCTGAAGGAGGGACACAGAACTGCTGGATCCAGGGGGCTGTGCCAGACCCAACCTCCCTGGTCCCAACCCAGCTGCACCAGAAGGGTTTTCAAACTGACAGATGTTTTTGCAGGGAGAAGAGGAGCATCTCAAGGAGTTTTGAGGGTTCACAACCTGCCCTTTCTCATCCCAAACCCTCCACCCCACAGGCACTTTCCTTCCTAGGAGAGACAGAGGTTGTACTGTAGGGAACACAGGTAGTCCCCAGCCACCCTGCCAGGGGTGAACCCTCCACAACAGCTCAACTGAGTCTCCCCTCATGCCCCATGTGGAGACAGGGTCCCAGTGTCCACGCAAGACTCTTTGCTGGTGAACCAAGGGGTCCCGCTCCAGCCCTCGCCCTTCACTGCACGTCAGAGCCACAGTGCTGTTCTCCATTCATTCACCTGGGTGGTCAAAATTGAACTGGCCTTTGAGTGCTTTGGATTTCTGCTCTGAGGTGAGGACCCGGTAGAAGCTGTCTTGGCTCACGATCACCACCTGCTTCTGGCGGTAGTCCACCTCGTTCTGGCCCAGCAGCTGGACAATCTTGGAGCATACAGAGGACTGGAAAAAGAACAGCAAAGGAGGCAAGTCAGTGGCAAGTGGTGTCTGAGCCATGCAGGGAGGATGTCCCCAGGTAACAGCCATTTCTGGGTGCATGAGACACTGCTTGCTGGACCTCCAGCTGGGTCTGTGGTCTCCTCAAAAGCACAGCCCAAAGCCACTGAGGGAGAGTGCTCCAGAGGCATCAACATGGGGTCCTTCAGGTTCAAAGCAGCACTAAGTTAGTCCCTGCATCCCTCTCCTCTGTCCCTGTGGCCTGCCAACAATTCTTACTCTGGGCACAGGGCTGTTGACTGCTCCACTAACTGGCAGCTGGAAACCAGTCAGCTACTGCTTCGGTTCTGCCACACCCCCAGGGGCCCGATGGCCAGCTTCAGCCTGGCCAGCAGCTCCCCAGGGAGCAGAGCTGCATGTGGTACCAGGGCTGAGCCTCCTCCCTGAGAGGCAGCCTCAGTGTCTTGGTTCCTCCAGCGCTGGTCCAGGCCAGAAACCCCACCACAGCATGGGCAGGGAGGGAAAGCCAGATTGTTTCCAGATGCTAAACAAAGCTCAGGGTGAAAAGACACCAGAAAGACAGCCATGGAACTACATCAGGGATCTCTGCCACAGCTGCCAGGGCTGGGAGGGGCAGTATCGAGCATATCCTGGTGCCTCTTGGCACAAGACTAAGGGCACTGCAGAGCCACATGGCTCTGGCTGCCGGTGCAAGATCCCCAGGAGCACTGCTGGCACAGGGACTGGCACCTCTCATATTGATACGCGGATTGACTCCACAACTCGTTAGAGTCGTAAAGCAGGTATGTTTTATTCAGCGCTGAAGCGCATGGGGGTTGCTCCTCCAAAAGCATGCGCGCCCCCCTTTGCCACTCAGTTTGTTTATATTACATATAATGATTACCTAAGCATGAGATTGCTTCACGCCTAATACATATGCAAAACCTATTCCCGTCTAGTATATAATTAGTTTTCTGGCATTCATCCCATTGGTGCACCTGCGCAGTGCCTCCTGGTGGTGGTCGTTAGGGGGTCATGAGGATGAAGGCCTGTAGTTCTCTTCATCACCACGAGTAACCTCTTGCTTTCACGCAGACTCAAGAGTTTCAGCTCCTATCCAAACTTCAGGTTCAGTACAGGCTGGTTTTATGTATCTTAAAGTAGAAACTTGTCAAGTTTGCAAATTTTGTTACTCTGGCTATCTTTTGTTCCTTTTCTTTCTAAAGATACTATTTAAACAAGAATGTCTTAAATGTTAAGTTATGAATCTTATCTACTACAATTCTGTCTAGCAGCTGTAACTCTTACAATTCTGCTTCACCTTTCTAGCAAATTTGACTCCTACGGTTCTGCTTCACCAAGCACAGCGACTGCTTAAGCAAGCAGGCACAATGTTAACCCTTTATTTCCCAGTATCAATATCACATGGAGGAGGCTGGGTGCTGGTGGGGTGGCTTCAAAACTCTGCCGGCACTTGCAGCAGGCACAAGCTGAAGGTCATGCTGGACCCCACCACCACAACAAGAATAAAAGCAGAGCTTGTGGGACAAATCCCAAAGCCTGCTTCAGTCCTTTCTCCTTAGTCATAAGAGTCCTTGGCCACTGTGCAACACAGGGGTGTGGACTGCATCACTAACTGGCAGCCAGCATGCCTGCCCTAAACAGCAAGACTTGCCTGCATGAGCCCTGTGTGTCAGCCCCACTCCTGCCCCACAGCATCCACTGTTTGGGGAGAAGCGGGTGCTCCTGGTGCCAGACTGAACTGCTTCACCTCATGGAATTTTACTTGCTGCAGATGCCCAGTTGAGAAGCTCCTGGTCTCGATCACCACAGATACTCTCTGCTGAGCCCTCTGATTTGCAAAGAGAAGTTTGCTTGCCCCAGACTGTTAGTGGCTCCTTCTGTGCTCCCACTTCCCTGCTGGCTTAACCATCTGCTTTGCTCCTGGCTGACAACCTCCAGATTGACAACCTTCAGCAGAGCTGAAGGCAGCAGTGGTGAGAGGGAACAGGGAGAATGCTCGCCTGGCAGAGGAGGTCACTCCAGCAAGCAAGAGGGCAAGGCTGTTTGCCTGAGAAGCTGGAAGATTTCACGGCATTCCTCTCCCTAGAGACTGTCTCTTCCCCTCCAGGCCAGGCTGACCTGACTTGGCTGTGACCACTGTGCTGTGAGTCAGCCCCAGCCTGGCTGGAGAGCCTCTACACACAACACTGCTGCAGAGTGAACTGGCTCAGGCTGCCCGGCAGCAGTCCTTGTGGCGCTGGCCACAAATTTGGTCAGGGACAGGGTCTCCCTGAGCATTCCACCTTCTTTTCCTGCCTCTTGTGGCTGGCAGGTTATGCTTCCTGAGCCACGTCAGGAAGCCCTGCCCTCCAGCAAGCTGCTACCACCCACAACAAAGCACTGCAAGTCAGTGCCAATCGCTCACCCTTCAGCATGCACAGACACAAAGCCAGAGCCTATTCTCAATTTCCTCTGTTTTCTCACTCTCCACATCCTTCTCCAGCCTGTGTTAGCCCTATTGCTTATCCAGCTGTATCCCATAGGTTTTGCAAAAACAGGGAACAGAGAATGCACAGTGCCTCTCCTCCGCTTTTCCTTCCTGCTCTGTCCTACACGCGCTGCTGCCTTCAGATGCTGCCTGTGCAGCAGGGAGATGCAGTGCAGCAGGGTTCAGCCTTGGCCGCAGCCACTGACGCCAAATTTCCCATAGCCATTGTAATAAACCACCTCCAAGCACAAGCACCCAGACAGATACCCAGCCTGTATATCAGCAGGCTCCATACGTATCTAGCAGAAATCGCCTTCCCCAGCCCAGAAGAAGCAAGGCCCCTTTACTTTGGATCAATGAAAGCAATACACCAGTTGCACACTCACTCTCCCCTTGGACTTCAGCATAAAGATGGAAAATAAAATCATTTGAGGGCATCAGACAGTTCCTGACAATCTTCCTTCTGCCTTATGCACACTTGTCTCTGGTCTACTGATCTTGGAAGAGGTGGCGGAGGGAGGGGAAGGAGGAAAGTCCCCATCAGCTCTGAAAAATCACCCTCCTGTTTCATACCCTTAACACACCTAGTGGTGAGGAAAACACAAGGAGAAAGTAGCTCCCAGCTGCTGGAGACAGGAGTACATCCTCCCACTGGGGCCCATGACAAGGACTGGAGCATGTCCTGGCTGCATTTACCATTCAGTGTTCTGTGGTGGCAAGTGACTCCTGCAAAAGCATCCAGGCAGATGCTATGGGCCCTTCCCTTTTCTTTGGTGGTCTTTGGCGACCTATCAGAAGCACTGGAGAAAGATGATCATGAGGACATCCTGCTCTCAGGACTGAGCTCAGGTTTGTCGCACTGTGCTTCCCAGCTAGGCAGGGATGTCAACTCTGGGCTCTGGGAAGAAGCATATGCCACCCTGGTCCCACAGAAGGTGTGGGCCAGGGCACTAAGTGCTGCAGGACACAGGAACAGCAGGGGACATGGCATGTTCCTCCAACCCAAGGGCTGCATTCAGCTTGCCTTAGTGGGGCAGCAAACCTCAGCAAGATCTATATGAAAAAGGTAATTTTTTCTTTCCTCACAATCATTTGTGATGGAAACAAGAATGACTCATGGGGGGCATTCCTTGATGCAAGTCTGGATACCTCCCACACCTGGACAGGCATTTTTTCCCCTTGGTTGATAAACACCCTATGTTAAGGAGGAAATAAAACCAGAAACACAGAGGTTACAAATTCCCCTACACAGTGGGAACAAAACTTTCCAGTCTTAGGAAGTGTCCCTCCAAATGAATAATGTGTGTCCCCTGCTTAAACCTTCTCTCAAACCAGTAACGCATACATGCATATGATTGATGTTAATCAGAAGTGTGAAAAATCCACTAATAACTGGAAATGATAGCAGTTATGCTCTGGGGAGGCCTTACAATGTCCTGAAAGACCAAGACATGCCTGTGAAGTAACATGCCAGGGTGCAACCAGCCTCGCTCAGCCCCTTCCCCAGATCCACACTGTGCAACCCTCACCATGACCCAAAGTGAACACCAGTGGCGATTCAGCTGCAGCGCACTCCCAGCAACAGGATGCTTTCTTAAGCAAAAGCCTTCCCCTCCTCCAGAGCTTGTTTAAAACTAAATATAGACAGAACACAAGAACCCCAAAGTCTCCATGCCTGCTAAGTGGACCTTCCCTGTGTTAGCCACATAAAACCAATGCAGGACTTCCCAAGCATACAGGCAGGCAGGCAGGCAGCCCTGGCCACTCTGCCATCATTCATTACTTTCCACACACTGCACTGAGGAGAAGCAGGGCTCCAGGTTTAAGCCAACTTGCTGCAACCCACTGAGCTGCACTTCCCCAGACTGCCCTTGAGCTGCTCCCTGGGAAAACTGCAAACCAACCCACACCACGGTTGATAGGGAGGTATCTACACAGTGCAAGAAGCAAGTTCAGAGATGTTATTCCTGAGCAGAAGCAGCTCCAGCTCCTCTTGCAAGACTCCTTCTCTGAACCAAGCACACAAATAACTAGTGTTGAAGGAAGAAGTACAGCTTTATTCTGCTTGGAAAACACAGAGGGCACCTGGGGAAGAACTTCAGCATATTTTCCCAGAAGGAGAGAAGTGGTGCACAGGGGAAAAAACTCTACAGATGGTTATTTGGAGCCCTACCCCTGACATTTACTTCAAAGATATTAATTACATTACATATTTAATTCACATTTACTCACAGCCTATAGCTGGCTGCTCAGATATTCTTCAGGAGTTGACTAATTTCCCATGCAGATTATCCTAAAGTCCCTCTTCGGTAGCTGTTATCAACCAGAGAATTAGGACTTCAGATGGGTTTTAGAGAGAAAGCCGATGGACAATGCTATAGGTAACCACCACAGGAAGGTTCCAGGCAGGACACAGCTGATGCCTGCAATCCCAGGTTTGCTGCAGCAGATAGGGCAGTATAGGTATTTTTGCCCCAGCTGGTAAGGCCTGTCATGGGCTAGGAGGGATCTGTAG